TGGTCCTGGACTCGCCGTTCGAGTCATCTGTGCGGACGAACCCTTTATGGAGAAAGACTTCTCTGAGACGACGAGTTTAGTGAAAGTCATTGTCTCTTACGCCGAGTCTCTGCATAAGGTATTCCTCGCGAGAGTTGTCTTATTTGAGAGTTTGTTTTCTAATGGTGTGACTCTTATGATCAGAAACACGCACTCATTAGTAAAGTTCAAAACGCCGTCGAAGATGAAGACCAGAAGTTTTTATTGAGGTTTTCCGAGACGTATAGCTTTAAGGCAACTCTACTGCCGATCCGCAGTGTGGGAGTGCAGGGCGACTGTCGCACCTATAGCTATGTGGTGGGCCTCTCCGAGAGCGAAGCCAAGCGTGTGGACAACGATACGAAGAAGTTTGAAGATCTGAGCGTTTTAGCCAAACTTATTCCTCGTGTTTGCCATAACGTGAATAGAGTTTGTTATATATTCGGTGATGAAGTGAAATATCCGGTTCACGACATCACTCATACCTGTCTCACAACTGGTGTCTTATCTCAATTGAGACAAGCGGACAGTATTGCCACCAAAACACTGATGGCGTCGGGATATGGCAGCGCTATCTCCCAGATGCCGGTCATCCTTATTCCAATCCATTTTGATCGAGACGTGGCCTCAACTAACCAGTCGTATCAGCGATCGGTTGTCATCAGGACTTTCATCACTGAAGACTTCATGACAGGTGTTCCCGCAATACCTAACCGACACATACCACTAGAGGTAAGCATTCATTTATGGCTAACCAGTGATTTGTTATGCTTTAAAATATTTATTTATTTATAGGTTTTTAGACAAATGGCAACAGAGATTGTAGCGATTAATGGTATATCTCGAGTGCTTTACGACTTGACACCCAAACCCCCTGGAACTACTGAATGGGAATAATTGATAATCAATTTGAATTCATTTTGTCCAAAAAGAAGTGTTAAAATTTGTGAACATTTTAAAAATATATGCATTTTTAAGTTTAATAATAGTAACAAAATCCAATGATTTTTAATAAGAATTCAAAATTATTTCTTTATTTAATGTTTTTTCAAAAACGATATAAAATTGGAGAAAAAGATTTTTAAACTGAGATTACATTTGATTTGAAATTTCATGTGAAATGCGAGCACTTGTTGAGCGAAATAAGTGATACGTTAGACGACTCTATACTGGGATTCATGTGCGGAACTCAAGTAAAGACGGACTACACTTATATGCCATTCACTGTATGAGTACTCAGGGTAACGGTGAAGAGCTTAACATTTCTTATATTTGACTATATTTTAAATGACAACAAATTCAAATAAATTAATTCTCTTTCATAAACATTATTACATTTATTTGCATTAATTATTGTTTGTACAGTAGTCATATTTAGTGTTTTATTTGTTAGTGTTTCAAATTGAATTCATTATTATATATCGCATTACGGTATTTCATTTATGATAATGAAAGCGAATGTGAAAAAAGGAGTTATAGAGCTATCAAATGTGGTTTGAATGAGACATTTGATGTCACTTTGGGTAATTTGGTCACTATGTTGTATATAAGTCAACATCAATTAAGTCA